CTGCTGCTTTTTAACTGGAGATGCCGGGGATTGAACCAGGGACCTTCTACATGCCAAGTAGATACTCTGCCACTGAGCCATGGCCCCTCCTCACTTTTATCCTCACCAGGATGGCCCAGGCTAGCCTAAGATCGCCAGATTTCAGAAGCTTAAGCAGGATTGGCCTTGGTACACACTCGGATCGGAGATCACCAATGTTCCCTCTAACCTGTAGAGTCTTGTGAGCAAAAATTCTACTTTGTGAGCTAGTGGCATTACAGTTGTGAGTGAGTGATTTGGCTACTGCATAAATTAGTTTGCTCTGGAGCCATCCTTCCTGAGCTCAGACAAGAATGTGTGAGCTGGAGGCTAAAAATCTGTGAGCTGGCTCACACTAATTCAGCTTAGAGGGAACCCCTTCACAGGTTCCACCCCTTCCTAAACTCCCATCTTTCCAGGCTCCACCCTCAAATCTCCAGGGCACCAACGCAGAGGCAGGTGATGGCAAAACACCTCCGAACCAATGCTCCCTCTAAGCTGTGGGGTCTTGTGAGCAAAAAATTCTACTTTTGGCATTAAAGTTGTGAGTGAGCGACTTGGCTACTGCATAAATGAATTTGCTCTGGAGCCATCCTTCCTGACCTAAGACAAAAAATGTGTGAGCCGGAGGCTAAAAATCTGTGAACTAGCTCACACTAAGCTTAGTTCTCTGAACATCTCTTGCGTTGAAATCTCCATAAGAGGTCGCCATGAGTTGGCTGTGACCTGACGGCACTTACCACCACCATATTGACATTTTACTAATATGTACATTCAGGGCTTTTTTTCTGGAAAAAGAGGTGCCAGAACTCTCAAGAGGGAAAAGAAGTTTTCAGTCTCTATACTGTAGGGCACGGGATCAATGGATGTGATTGATGAATGTGATTTCTGACATTTCTCTTGACATGTATAATGCCAGCTGTCATTGTGTCTTATTAGGAGTCTGATTAAAGTAAATTTAGACCTTAGCATTTAGCCCAGGCAGAAGAGACTTAAAGTAGAATTAATTAGGCCCCGGTCACACGGGAGGATTTGCCCCGCGGGAGGGACGGATCGGGGGCGCATCAAGCAGGCACGATCATACCGGAACATCTGGGAAGCGGTGCGCACCCATCCCCGATCTGTCTCTTCCGGCCGAAGATGTGGAGTTAAAGTAAACCCGCTAAGCACTACTACCTACCGGAAAATGGGCAGCCGTGTGATCGCCGACGCACCCGTCTCCCGCAGCGTGCGAGGTCCCCTGCCGAACTGCGCAGGCGCACACATGCGCAGCGGGCTCGCCTCGCTCACCGATCTGTGGCTTCCCCCGGCATCTGATCATGCCGGGGAGCAACTGTGCGGCAGCTCGGGGGATCTGTCTGATCCCGCCGCCGCACTTCTCTTTTGATGTGGCTCAAAAAAGCTGCACTTCAGCCGCACCTTTCCCCCCAGTGTGATCGGGGCCTTAGAGTATTTTTAATTGCCAAAGGTTCTTTTAGATTGATTCAGAAAATAATGGAATGGAATGTATATTTTGAAATTACAAGCTCCCCAGCTGAAGGATATCTGAGAAGTAAAGCTATGAGATGAAAAGATTCTGAGTGTTCCCAAAACAAATATTTTTCTGTGTAGAGCAGAGCATTTGGCCCCAGAAAGTCTGCCAAGAGCTAAGTTTTATGCATCTTATCAGGAAACTCCCTAGTTTCAGGCTGAAGAAAATAAGCTAGGGATGATGCCAAAAGAAGGCCCCTCTGTTCATTGATGTTTTCCACTGTTTTGGGACCAGATAAGCAGACGTAATTACTGACACTTATGATCCAGATAGGGGTTTGCCAATAGAGAAGTGCCAGCTCAAATCATTGATGACACCTGAACACCAATTAAGGATTTATTTCTATATCAGGGGTCATTTCGTAGAAAAAGAGGTGCAGGAGCTCATTAGCATAACTCATTAGCATAACTTATTTGCATATGCCACACACCCTGACCTCACCGGAAGTGTGTCAGAAGGCAACACCCACCGCTCAGGCTCCACTGGACTGTTTTGGATTGCTAGCTATTGGCAGGGGGGGGGACGTGCAGATCTGTCCTCGCAGAGGAGGGAGAGCTCGTACCTGAATAAAACTTGGTCTTAAAGGTGCCACTGGACTGTTTTGGACCAGGAAGCTGGGGGAGGGGCTCTGCAACTTACCTGGCTGCTTCTTGCTCTGACTGAGGGCTGCTGGGAGCAGGGGGTGGGGCTTGTTGCATGTGCCTGCCCCCTGGGCTTTTTACTGCCAGAGCTCTGCTCCTGTGCGCTCCTGCAGGAAATGACCCCTGTTCTATATAAACTGTCATGATGTCATTTGGGGTATAAGACCTATTGCCCTTCCTGGTTGGGGCAGAATACAGCTTGGTGTTACTTGTACTTGGTGCCAAGGTATCCAGTCCTGTATTTTCCTGATTGTTGCAATAAACAGATATTTATCCCACTCGCTGGACTCCGACTGTGTGATCCTCATTCGACCCTGGGAGCACACGGGGCACAGATTTGTGCATCAATATTGAAAATTCGTGAACTTTTAAACATTTTTAAAAGAATTTTGTCAAAGAGGTTCTGGAACTCTGTTCCGGCGCGTTCCCCCAGAAAAAAAAAAGCCCCGTGTGCATTAATTTTAAGCATTTGATCAATCAGCTTCATAACCAAGCCAACACTGGCCAGTTTGGTGTAGTGGTTAGAAACGCGGACTCTAATCTGGGAGAACTGGGTTTGATTCCCCACTCCTCCACAGGCAGCTGCTGGTGTGACCTTGGATCAGTCACAAGTTCTCTCAAAGCTGTTCTGTCAAGGGCAGTCCTCAAAAGAGCTCTCTCAGCCCCACCTACCACACAGGGTGTCTGTTGTAGGGAGGGGAGGGGAAGGGAAAGGAGATTGTAAACCACTCTGAGACTCCTACGGGTAGTGAAGGGCAGAGTATAAATCCAATCCCCTCCTCCTCCGCCTTCTGTCTGCTGGCAATCCTAGTTTCTTTTTATAGGTTTCACCAATATGACGATGTGGTCAGAGCTTAGAATTAGAAATGCAGCTGGATCCACGCTCTGGCCACTGCATATCTTTGCTAAGATCTGTAGTTGTGCCTGCATGTATGAATGTGCTCTGGTAATACATTTCTAAGTCTGGTAATAAATACAAAAATCCCGTTAGGTCCCTAGATGGCAGTAGAATTGCTAGCTTTCAGATGGAGGCTGGGGATCTCCCGGAATTACACCTGACCTCCAGATGACATAAATTGCTTATTCATTCATTATTTATTTAAACATTTCTTCTACTTCTCCTCCAGAAAATGGCTGCTTTGGAAGGCGGGCTGTATGGCATTAAAGCAAAACTGAGTTCCCTCCCCTTCCAAAACCCCATTCCCCCCGACTCCACCCTCAAATCTCCAGGTATTTTCAGACCTGGAGTTCGAAACCCTAAATGAGAGGGGGCAGAAGAAATTGAATCTGTGCGCTGTTTTCAGTGGGTAAGTAGTTAATGGTATAAGAGCAGCTGTGATAATCTGTTGTGGCAAAGTAAAACAGAAGTCCAGTGGCACTATAGACTAACCGTGAATGAATGAGTCCAGTGGCACTATAGACTAACAATAAATGAATGAGTCCAGTGGCACTATAGACTAACAATGAATGAATGGATGGATATTGATCTAGGTGGTCAGCCGTGTTGGTCTTAGGCAGTAGAACAAATTTAGAGTCCAGTGGCACCTGTAAGACCAACAAAAGTTTATTCAAGGTGTGAGCATTCGTGTGCAAGGCACACTTTTTCAAATACCATTGGAATGGTAGATGAGGTTCTAAATTTATAGTAAAGGTAAAGGTTCCCTTGCTCGAAAGCCAGTCGAATCCAACTCTAGGGTTGCGGTGCTCATCTCCATTTCAAAGCCGAAGAGCCAGCGCTGTCCGAAGACGTTTCCGTGGTCATGTGGCCGGCATGACTAAACACCAAGGCACACGGAACGCTGTTCCCTTCCCACTGAAGTGGTACCTATTTATCTACTTGCAATTTCTTTCTTTCCAACAGCTAGGTTGGCAGGAGCTGGAACTAGAGATGGGACTGGGAGCTCACTCCGTCATGCGGCACCCGGGTCTCGAACTGCAGAACTACTGACCTTTCACAGCCTGCAGTTCAGCGTCTTAACCACTTGAGCCACCGCAGCTTTTTACACATGCAAAAACAGCATGGCCTAGGGTAGCGGTCAGACTAGGATTTCTGGGACCCAGGTTCAAATTTCTGCTCTGCCACGGAATGCTCGTTGGGTGACCTTGGGCCAGTCACACACCCCTCTCAGTCTCACCTACCTCGCAGGGCTGTCACGGGGATCAACGGAGGCGGGTGTCAACATGCAAAACAAGGTCCCTGCCCCGGAGCGGCACGCAATTTAAGTGGAGAAAAATGCGGGGAAACAGTGGGAAGGGAAGGGACGGCGGAGGCGTTTGCAGCCCCCCCTCCCGTCGCCATGATCCATACCTTCCCCAACGTGCTTCCTTTGCAGGCGTGCTTGATTCCCGCCCCCTCGACCAGTGCTCCCTCTAAGCGGTGGAGTCTTGTGAGCAAAAATTCCCCTTTGTGAGCTACCAGCATTAAAACTGTGAGCGAGCGATTTGGCTGCTGCATAAATCAGTTTGCTCTGGACTCGCCATCCCTTCCTGAGCAGAGACGAAAAAGTGTGAGCCGGAGGCTGAAAAACTGTGAGCCAGCTCACGGTAACTCAGCTTAGAGGGAACACTGCCCTCGACCCCCACCCAAAAAAGGCGAAATGGAGAACAGAGAGAGAGAGAAAGAGAATGAATATCCTCCCTCCAAATAGCGGGGCGGGTGTTTGGAGCCCCCCCCCCCAATCCCTGCAAATGCACCCGGATTTCAGACTGGAGGACGGCGGGGTCTGCCGGAGGAGGGGGGGGGGGCGCCGAGATCCTGTCTCTTTAAACGGGAGCGCGCAGGGAGCCGAGCCCGGCTGCTGGAGCCGGCCATGGGGGTGAGGATGGAGCCGTCCCGGCCTCTGGCTCGCCGGCTCTTTGCCCCCCTCCAGGTTCTCCCCCTGCTGCTGCTCCTGCTCCTGCAGGCCGGGACGAGCTGGGGCAAATACGTGAAAGGCAACATCAGCACCAAAGAGGTGAGTGGCGCGGGCGGGGGGGGG